GCAATGGCTATGGGACTGCACTCTGAGGGAGAATTTACCATGTAGGAACCAGGCCTTTTGAAACACCGGGCTGTTGTGCTTTCTTGTATACAGTGTGAGTTACATGAAGGACTTCATGTTCTACCCATAGCCTTTCCAAAAGAAGAGAGTGAGAGAAAATGTAATGGTTCGATATGGGAAGCAGGGAGCAATTAGGAGCAATAAAGTCCAGGGAAGTCAAATGAATAACACATTTTTGCAAACTGCTCTCAGTTTCACATTAATTAAAACCAGGCTTTATAGTGTGTTAAAAAGTGTGTATTAAATCTTTCTGGCCAACTCCATGTTCTCAGGGGCTCCCGCTCAACTATGTTGTAGTTGCTGATCATGTATGATCGCAAAAACAAGTGGAATGAGACAGAATTATTTGCTTAATAGTGAGCTCAATCTCACTTCGTATGCATGTGACATGTTCTGGGGAGGAGATTTTGTACTGTGGTTGGCCTAATGATTCATTCTCAGTAATGCAATGGCCAGAAGGGCAAAAACCCAGAAGCCTGTCTTTAAATCAGCGTTTCTCAACCTGGGGGTCGGGACATCTGGGGGGATTGAGAGGGGGTGTCAAAGGGGTCACCAAAGACCACCAGAAAACACATATTTCTGATGGTCTTGGGAACCCCTTTGGCATAGCTGTTTGGGTTCACAGTGCTCTCCAAATGTAGGTGAACTACATCTCTCCTAAATCACTGTCAGTTCATCTCAAATCCCACCAGTATTTTATGTTGGTCATTGAGGTTCTGTGTGGGGTGTTTGGCCCAGTTCTATCATTGCTCTTTGATTGTAGGTGAACTATCAATCCCTTCAACTACAACTCCCAAATGTCAAGGTCTATTTTCCCCAAACTCCACTGGTGCTCACATTTGAGCATATTGAGTATCCGTGCCAAGTTTGGTCCAGATCCATCATTGTTTGAGTCCACAGTGCTCTCTGGATGTAGGTGAACTACAACTCCCAAACTCAAGGTCAATGCCCACCAAACCCTTCCAATATTTTCTGTTGGTTCTGGGAGTTCTGTGTGCCAAGTTTGGTTCAATTCCATCGTTGGCGCTCAATGATTGTAGGTGAACTATTAATCTCAGCAACTACAACTCCTAAATTACAAAATCAACCCCCTCCCCCAATCCCACCAGTATTCATATTTATTTACAACATTTATATGCCGCCCTTCTCACCCCGAAGGGGAATCAGAGTGGCTTACAAGATATATATACATACAATATATTAAATTATTACCATAGTACAATATCAGTATTATATATTACTATATAGTACGCCACCATTATATTGTAATAATAATATTACAATATTATTAATATTATTAATAATATTACATGTAATATAAAATATATGATTATAATATTGTATTATTAGTAGTAGTATTCTTTAAATTTATTTAAAACTTTTATATCCCGATCTTGTCTACCTCTGTAGAGGGACTTACATTATAATATTATAAATTACTAGCCGTCCCCTGCCACGCGTTGCTGTGGCCCACATGGGGGTTCTGTGTGGGAGGTTTGGCCCAATTCTATCGTTGGTGGTGTTCAGAATGCTTTGTGATTATAGGTGAATTATAAATCCCAGCAACTACAACTCCCAAATGTCAAGATTCTATTTTCCCCAAATTCCACCAGTGTTCACATTTGGGCATATTCAGTATTCGTGTAGAGTTTGGTCCAAATCCATCATTGTTTGAGTCCACAGCGCTCTCTGGATGTAGGTGAACTACAACTCCAAAACCAAAGGACACTGCCCACCAAACCCTTCCAGTATTTTCTGTTGGTCATGGGAGAACTCTGTGCCAAGTTTGGTTCAATTCCATCGTTGGTGGTGTTCAGAATGCTCTTTGATTGTAGGTGAACTATAAATCCCAGCAACTACAACTCCCAAATGACAAAATCAATTTTTTTTGAGTGAAGGACATACATTAGGTTGTTAGGTGTACTGTGTCCAAATTTGGTGTCAATTCGTTCAGTGGTTTTTGAGTTTTGTTAATCCCACAAAGAAACATTACAATTTTATTTATATAGATAATTATATATAATAAATATTATAATTAAATTATAAACTACAAGTCCAAAACTCAAGGTCAATGCCCACCAAACCCAATTCCATCGTTGGTGGAGTTCGGAATGTTATTTGATTGTAGGCGAACTATACATCCCAGCAACTACAACTCCCAAATGACAAAATCAGTCCTCCTCAACCCCACCAGTATTCAAATGTGGGTGTTTTGGGTATTTGTGCCAAATTTGGTCTAGTGAATGAAAATACATTCTTCATATCAGATATTTACATGGCGATTCATAACAGGAGCAAAATAACAGTTGTGAAGTAGCAACGAAAATAATGTTATGCTTGGGGGTCAGCACAACATGAGGAACTGTGTTGTTGTAGGTTTATTCGGGATATATGGCCATGTTCTAGAGGCATTTCTCCTGACGTTTCGCCTGCATCTATGGCAAGCATCCTCAGAGGTAGTGAGGTCTGTTGGAACTAAGAAAAAGGGTCTATATATCTGTGGAATGACCAGGAACTAGGTGTGAATGTTTCAACTGACCACCGTGATTAGCATTTGATTGCCTGGCAGTGCCTGGAGCAATCTTTTGTTGAGAGATGATTAGATGTCCTTGTTTGTTTCCTCTCTGTTTCCTCTCTGTTGTTGTGCTGTCAGCTCCAGCAGACAAGAGTCCTTTGTCTCACCATGGTCATTCCACAGATATATAAACCCTTTTTCCTAGTCCCAACAGACCTCACTACCTCTGAGGATGCTTGCTATAGATGCAGGCGAAACGTCAGGAGAAATGCCTCTAGAACATGGCCATAGAGCCCGAAAAAACCTACAACAACCCAGTGATTCCAGCCATGAGGAACTGTATTAAGGGGTCGTGGCATTAGGAAGGTTGAGAAACACTGGCCTAGGTAATGGCCAGAGATGCAAAAATCCAGAAGCACATCTTTAAATAATGCTCAGATATATTTATGTATTTACCATCCTCCTGCTTACGAATTTTAAGAAGATCCTGAGTTTCAGGTACCAGTAACGGCATTTTACTCCCTGCCGCTGTAGTGCTTTGCCTGCTTTTCTCTCCAATTCTTCAAATTCTTCCAAGCCACTATACTTCTTTCAAGTGAAAGCTTTGGGCTGACTTATAAGCAATTTGAATCCAGGGATGTGTAATGGAAAAATGGAAAACAATCGTAAAATGCTGCTTGGAGTGATGTCACCTTTCGCCACTAACCAGCGCTTTAGTAATAACAATGCTGGCAGAAGACGGAGCCTTGTGTATTTTAACGCACCTTCTGGGCCCTTTGGGTCAAAAGAGCCACAAGGAAGTTTCTGTTTGTTTTAGTTAGTTTGAAAGCAGCCTCCAAATTACTCATATATTTCGGGGCGGGGGGAGCATAGTTATGACTCTTCCTTAAAATAGCCAGCCTCAAACCACCACCTCTCAGGGTATTTCATAATAAATGGAAGGTAAATAACACTTCCTAGTCATGCTGAAGAATTTTTTTGTATTTTTTGGAGAAAGGAAAGAGAAACTTTTGTGGAGACTAAGCTTGATGTTCTCCAAGGGAGGTTAAAAGAGTTTGGAAGAGAAGGATGGGGAAGAGAACTACAACAATCAAACCCAGCAGTTATCGTTCCCTAAGCCATTGTTAATGAAGATAAGAAAGAAGTGACTCATCTAGCCAGTCACTCTCAACTGTTGCACATCAGATTCCACTGTACGCATTCACACACTATACATACCATACGTCTTTGATTTGAAGACACGGTTTTTCTCCATATACACCTCTCTAAAAACAGGTTATATCTTAGAATCTTATTAGCTACATACATCCATACAACTTTAATTTCTGTTGGTAGCACAGAAACAATGTGTGTCTTACAATTGATGGTGTCTTAGAATCAAAGAAATCGTCTTCCATCTTGTTATTGTGATTAGGTGACCTTGAGACACAGTGGGTTAAAGCACTGAGCTGCTGAACTTGCTGACAAAAAGGTCGCAGGTTCCAAACCAGGGAGCGGCGTGAGCTCCTGCTGTTAGCCCCAGCTTCTGCCAACCTAGCAGTTTGAAAACATGCAAATTTGAGTATCTCAATAGGTACCCCTCCAGCCAGAAGGTAACAGCGCTCCATGCAGTCATACTAGCCACATGATCTTGGAGGTGTCTACGGACAGTGCCGGCTCTTCAGCTTAGAAATGGAGATGAGCACCCCCCCCCCCCGAGTCAGACACAACTGGACTTAATGTCAGGGGAAAACCTTTACCTATATTTAGCTACTAGTGCATATACCTGGCATTGCCCAATGTCAAAGAGGCTGCTATCTGCCTATTTTATCCCTTCTCCATCTCCAAGAAGGCCAACTTTCACCCTTTCTCCAGCTCTGAGGTCTACTTTTCCCTTCTCTATTCCTAAGAAGGCCTACTTTCTCTCCCCTCCAGCTCTGAGGCCTACTTTCTCCCTTCTCCAGTCCTGAGAAGGCCTACTTTTTCACTTTCTCCAGCTCTGAGGCCTACTTTCTCCCCTCTCCAGTCCTGAGAAGGCCTACTTTCTCCCTTTTCCTATCCTGAGAAAGCCTACTTTTCCCTTTTCCAGCCCTGAGAAGGCCTACCTTCTCCAGCTCTGAGAAAGTCTATTTTATCCCTTTTCCAGCCCTGAGAAAGCCTACTTTCTCCCTTATCCAGCTCTGAAAGGGTCCAACTCACAATGTCTCCATGTCGACACTGGCAACGCTGAGCAGGCTTACTTTGTGGCTCCTTCCTTCCTTCCTTCACTTCATACACATGACTCTTTTCTTTCCCAGTGGCACAGAGGGTCACTTTACCTAACAACAGACAACCCAATGACATCCCAGAGGGCCACTTCACCTAGCAACAGCCTAGCAACAGACAGACAAACATACACACTTCTGACTTTTACATATATCAAATAGATACCACAATTTCTGCTTACCTGAAGGTTTGTCAGTGGAAGTTGGGATACTAGTAACCGGTGGCATGGTCGGTAGAGTAGGCGGTAGAACCTTTAAATTCTGGTCACTTTGAATCTCATTGGTAGATATCTGGTTAATGATACGGTTGTAAGTAGGTGGCTGGTAGACTCGGTTGGGTGGCTGTGGAGGCTGGAGGACCGGTTTCATGGATGGTGTTCTTTGGCAATGCTCTTCCAGTTGTGCGATAATGATAGACTGGTTATTGGCGATGGAGACCAAATGCTGGTATTTGTGCTCCAGGTCTTTGTATTTGTTGGCCAGCTGCAGCATGTCCGCCGTTTGGTTCAGGATCTTGTTCTCCAACTGGGAAAGCTCTAAAGCGTTGTCCCGTTTTCGGATGATTTCGTGCAGCAGCTGCATGTAGAGTTGCGTGACCCGCGAGTTCATGTTGCGGCTCTCTTTGCGCAAGAGCTTCACCTCGTTGACAATCCCTCCGTCGACCTCCACCAACTGCTGGAGGGTTTCGATTTGCCTCTTTTGCTTCAAGAGTTCATTATTCAGGAGCTCAAGTTCCTGCTTATTTACCCTGTTTTCAAGTACAACATCAGGCTCTTTTGAGTTCACACAAATGGCACCCGTTACTTTCTGCTGAGGTACAATGAAGGTATAGGTGCATTTGTCTTGAGTGTCAGTGGAGCGTTTGTACCTGTTTGCGTACACAAATTCTTGTTCTTCTCCCTCGCTGTTGCCTTCAAAAACATGGGTCTTACCATGGATTCCCACGACAGCCATTAGTAATAAACACACTTCTGCCTTCATGGTCCTTTCTGTAACTGCTTCCTTTATTATGCAACTTTGGAATCTGTTGTAAACATATAACAAAAGCAAAAAGGTAAGTACTTAATAACAGATCAAAGCAACGAACATATTGAATGTATGTAAACATGGTATGCAACTGTTATACTATGTCCCAAAGTGTTAAAAAGGCAGATGTTTTGCTCCAGCTTGTAGCATCTACCCAAATTGTGAAACAAATTGCTTATCAAAGGAAAAAAAATCTTAATTAATTGCCATCTTCATTATTTTTCACTGGCCCATGTTGACTTCTGGTACCTTGTTTCCCTGAAAATAAGACCTCCCCTGAAAATAAGACCTAGTACAGCAGCGTTTCTTAACCTGAGGGTCGACACAAGGGGGTTTAGAGGGGTCACCAAAGACCATCAGAATACCTATATTTCTGATGGTCTTAGGAGCCCCTTGGGCAGAAAAGGCTGAAAATCTCTCCACCTGTCCTTCTCTTCCTTTTTGGAAACAGATGGCGAATCCACCCACCAAAAGCCCCCCTCCACTGTGATTGGCTGGCCTCTCAGCCAAGGGGAGGGCTGTTTCTTAGACTCCAAGCGGGGGAGGAGAGAGCAGGCGTGCTTGGCACATGGAGGTGTAGTGTGCATGTACAGGCAAGGGAGATCATGTGAGGCTGGAGGGAGTCTTGCGCCAGCGAGTACCAGCAAGGCATGGGGAGTTCTGTGTGAGACGTTTGGCCCAATTTAATCATTGGTGGGGTTCAGAATGCTCTTTGATTGTAGGTGAAATATAAATCTCAACAACTACAATTCCCAAAGGTCTAGGTCTATTTTCCCCAAACTCCCAAGTGTTCACATTTGGGCATATTGAGTATTAGTGCCAAGTTTGGTCCAGATCCATCATTATTGGAGTCCACAGGGCTCTGTGGATGTAGATGAACTACAACTCCAAAACTCAAGGTCAATGCTCACCAAACCCTTCCAGTATTTTCTGTTGGTCATGGGTGTTCTGTGTGCCAAGTTTGGTTCAGTTCCATTGTTGATGGAGTTCAGGATGCTCTTTGATTGTACGTGAACTATAAATCCCAACAACTACAAAACCCAAATGTCAAAGTCAATCCCTCCCAACCCAACAGTATTCAAATGTGGGCATTTGGGTATCAAACGTGGCCAAATGTGCTCCAGTGAATGAAAATACATCCTGCATATCAGATATTTACATTATGATTCATAACAGTAGCAAAATGACAGTTGTGTAGTAGCAACAGAAATAATGTTATGGTTGGGGGTCACTACAACATGAGGAACTGTATTAAGGGGTCGTGGCATTAGGATGGTTGACAAACACTGATTTAAGGGATGCACATTTTTTTTTAAAAAAACTACTGCAATATATACCTGAGATACAAAATAAGAATTTAAATGAGTAGTCTAATGACTTCATTTCCTTTTTTTAAGTTTTAAAGATTTTATTTACATACAATAACAACTTACAGTGTAAACAAAACACAAAACAGTGATCATTTTACAAACACATAGCCCCACCACCAAGGCCTGAACAAGTATCCTTTCCTTCACCATATATTTATAAATCAACCATTAATCAAATGTCATATCCAAAATTCCTGACCAACAGGGTTATATTGTTTTCCATTTTCGCTCTCTAAAACATATTTAATAAAGACCGACCAGTATGCCTCAAAATCTTATCTGTTAATTTCCGCCCTGAATACCCTCATTTCCATTGTTAGTTTATCATTTAAGGCTACGTTCCATACCTTCCTATACCATGCTTCCAGTGTTAGATTAGTTATTATTTTCCAGTTCCTTGCTGTTATGATTCTTCCCACTGTGAGTAAAATAATCACCACTTCTTTCTTACTCGTTTCTAAATTCAACATCGTGGTGTCCATTAATAATGCTAACCTAGAACCTATCAATAAGATTAAAAGAAAATGTATACAACGTTATATGGAGATGGTATACCACACCAGTCAAACAACGTCAGATGGATAGCAAGCAAAGTAACCTCTGCTGGAGATGTGGTAAGCACAAAGGGACATATTTTCATTTATGATGGGAATGCCACCAAGTGAAGAGTTTTTGGAAGGATATATTAATCGAAATAAACAACATTATAGGATCAAATATTACTCCGGATGCTAGGTAATAACTTCATTTCCCGCAACAGTTGACTGTTGTTAACTTATATAATCTTATATTGCCCTGGTGTCTTAATCCCCAAAGTTAAAAGTCAACGTAAGTCTTGGAGCAGTTTAGGAAGATCCTTGTGCACAGCTTTGAGTAGAAGGCTCCACTGTAATGTTAATGCAACATATCCCCCTTTGTGTGTATGTGCTTAGGATATAGTATGAAGGTTTCTTCTGCCAAAGGAAGGAGTAAATGCCTGTTTTAAATAAGCCCTGTGTAGTCTTTAAAACGTCATTCAAAATCGAGAAGCAATTGGAAACATAAATCCAGCCTCCCTCAGACAGCTTTAAGTTGCATAGCCAGCCTTTGCGCAGCAGGTCACACTTGGTGACCCTGGCAAGCCTCCAAGCCTCATGCTTTACACAGTTGAGCTATTCTTGAAAAATGTCTTCAGCATAGTAGTAGTTAGAAGGGGGGGAGCCTTTCTTGCTTCAATATCAGGCTTTTAGGTTGGGTTTTGTTTTTTTTTTACATTTTCTCTTTGCTAACCCTTATTTGCCATGAATGGAATCTCAGTTTTTCTGTTGACATTGCTCTTTGTCTCACCATTTTAACAAGAGAGTAGCCATTGAGGAGTAACATTACAAAATAGCTGTGCTCTCACCAAAGAAGGAAAAGGAAGGACACAGATGGATAAGGAAGACTATGAACATATTGGTCGGGGATGGGATCAGACCAGGTATGGGCAAACTTGGGTCGTCCGAGTGTTTTGGACTTCAACTCCCACAATTCCTAACAGCCTACAGCTGTTAGGAATTGTGGGAGTTGAAGTCCAAAACACTCGGACGACCCAAGTTTGCCCATGCCTGGATTAGTCTCTTCATTTAGTGTAGTTTTTAATCCATCTATACACATCTATATAAATAAAAATTTAATGTTCGTTTGTGGGATTAACATAACTCAAAAACCACTAGACGAATTGCCACCAAATTTGGCCACAAGACACCTACTAACCCAAGGAGTGGCCATCACTCAAAAAATTGATTTTGTCATTTTGGAGGTGTAGTTGCTGGGATTTATAGTTTACCTACAATCAAAGAGCATTCTGAACTCCACCAATGATGGAATTGAACCAAACGTAGCACACAGGACTCCCATGACCAACAGAAAATACTGGAAGCGTTTGGTGGGCATTGACCTTGAGTTTGGGACTTGTAGTTCACCTATACCCAGAGAGCGCTGTGGACTCAAACCGACATGATGTGAGTGAGTTGTAGTTCACCCACAACCTTATGCATTTTGTACAATTAAAAAATGACTTTTTCAAATAACCCAGGGAATGCCAGGTAACCAAGCTAGTATATAATTGAACTGAGGTGTCAACATGTTGTTCTTCCTGCAAGTATAGTACAGTACAGTACAGTAGAGTCTCGCTTATCCAACATAAACGGGCCAGCAGAATGTTGGATAAGCGAAAATGTTGGCTTCTGTCAACCTAGCAGTTCGAAAACATGCACATTTGAGTAGGTAAAATGTACCGCTTTGGTGGGAAGGTAACGGTGCACCATGAAGTCATGCTGGCCACATGATCTTGGAGGTGTCTACGGACAACGCCAACTCTTCGGCTTAGAAATTGAGATGAGCACCAACCCCCAGAGTCGGACACATCTGGACTTAATGTCAGTGGAAAATCTTTACCTTTTTTACCTTAAGGAAAAGCCTATTAAACATCAAATTACGTTATGATTTTACAAATTAAGCACCAAAACATCATGTTTTACAACAAATGGACAGAAAAAGCAGTTCAATACACACTAATGTTATGTAGTAATGGCTGCATTTACAAATTTAGCACCAAAACATCGCAATGTATTGAAACAGCTGTGGACCCGATCGGGAGGCAGACTGCGTTGGATAATACAGAACATTGGATGAGCGAAGGTTGGATAAGCGAGACTCTACTGTATTGGGATTTCGTTCTTCGTGTCTTGGCTATTTAGGTGGTTGGCAAGAGCATAAAAGGCAGTAACCGATCTTGCTACGTTTTCCCTTTTAGTGTTTGCTGAGCTAATTCTGCCTTGAGGCCTACAACTTGAAACTTGTTATCACCTAACGAGTATACTTAAAACAACTTTCCCCCCAAAAGTATTACTTTATTTCTCTTCTTGTTCTTGAGAATACAAAACAAAGCCAAATATTTACTTTGGCATTGCAGCATAACAAGTGGAAACCCAAAGATTCACTGTCCTGATCTTTTGTGAGCCTTAGTGTATTTCATAATTACTTTCTCTGCCCTGAATTAAGATACAGTATGCTTTGTTGCTTTTTGAAATGTAAGCGATATGTTTAAAAGGGTTCAGGGTGTTCATATTGGTCTGTTAGAAATAGAGAAAATGTCAACATCTTACACAATCAATCTTTCTTTTGTGAGATAGCAGTTTCTATCTATGCCGTGGGAATGTGATATGTGTGGCATCGCTTTGTATTGGTCCCTTGAAAGTGATGCGTTGATCCCGGTCTCGTTGCCAAACCTTTAATGGATATATGGCATTGGTCCAGTTTCAAGGGAGGAAAAGAAAGGTTCCTTGGCAAAGAAGCACACAAAAAAGTTGGTCTTTCAGAAGGTTTTCCCCCTTCCCCCAAAACATCCCTATTCATGCTGAAAATGGAGAACATGTGGCCCGGACCTAATAATACTCTATTAGCTATTTATATATTCCGAAAAGTAAACTCTCCTAATGGTGGGTTAGTAGTTCATGAAACATTTTTATGAAGTTGTTAACTCGGGTACATCTACCCTGATATATAGTCTTCAACGTTGTAGGAGAGAGACTTATGGGTAATCACATTTAAGGACTACAAATGCTCTTAAATCTGTATGAGGGGAAACATTTTGTAATGTAAAGTC